CTAAAGCTACTCATGGAACACAGAGTCTTAAAGCTGAGGAAAAAGAAGCAAACCTTAGCTTAGAACCTGTTGCTAAGTCTCCTGCACATTTCTATTTTGGGTAGTTTACACGTTAACCTGGATCTCGGGCATCTTGCAGACTTATCTGTCCAGGATCGACTTTATGAAAGCTGCAGGAAATTAACATTTATTGAGAGCCTGTTATGTGCTAGGTCCTGGGAAACGTGCATCTTTTAGGTGTTGAGTTCTGCTTTCCTTATATAAAATTCATCTATTATATATCTTTTAAAATCACCTATTTTAAATGAACAGTTCAATGAGTTTCAGTGTTCATGCACTTGTGCATCTTTCAACACAATCTGTTTAAGACCCCTCCTATCACTCTAAGAAGTTCCCTCACACCCTCTGCAAGGAATCCCTGCACCCTAACTTCAGCCCCGGCCAACCTCTGATCTGTTTCATCTCTAGTTTTGCCTTTACTGGGCATTTCATATAAATGGTGTCATACAATCTGTAGTCTTTTGTGTCTGGCTTTTGTACACTTAACATGCTATTTTCAAGAATTATCCACATTGTTGTGTGTGTCCATCACTCATTTCTTTTTATTGATAAGCAGTATAATTCCACTGTGTGGATATACGTATGTGTCACATTTTATCAGTCAGCTTTATGTGGGAGGAGACTTGCTGGATCAGGTGATAAGTGTATGTTTAGCTTTTTAACAAATGCTCCAAATGCTCCCAAGTAGATGTGCCATTTTATACTCCAACCAGCCCTGGGTGAGATTATCTTTGTCATTTTAATTCAGTTATCTTCTTACTACTGAGTTGTAAAGGTTCTTTATATTTTTTAGTTAAAGTCCTTTGTTCTGTAATTACTTTGCAAATATTTGCTTCCCATCTGTTGCTTGCTTTTTCATTTTCTTAATGACGTCTTCTGAAGAACAAAAAATTAATTTTGATGACATCTAATTTATTGATTTTTCTCTTTTGCTGTCCAGAACTTTTGTATTGTGTCTAAGAAAATGTTCCCTAACCAAAGGGAAATTTTCTACTCTTTTTCTATAAGTTTTATATTTTTAGCCCCTTCGTTGAGGTTCACAATACATTTTGATTTAATTTTTGTGTTGGAAGTGATGTTAAGGGTCAATGCTCATTATTTTGCATATGGAAGTCCAGCTGTTCCAGCACTTTTTGTTGAAAAACTATCTCTTCTTTATTGCTTTAGCGCTGGGATGCAAATCAATTGACCACATATCTGAGGATTTATTTCTTCTGCACCACTGATCCAGACATCTATCCTTATGCCAATACCACATGCTCTTGGTTACTGTAGCTTTATAGTAAGTTTTGACATTCAGAAGAATGAGTCCTCCAATTTTGTTCTTCCTCCACACTGTTTAGGCTATTCTAGGTCCTTTGCATTTCCATATACATTTTATTCTCAGTTTATCAATTTCTACCAAAGGACAAAGCCTACTGAGATTTTGACAGAGATTACATTGAATATGTAGATCAATTTGGGAAGAATTACCAATATTGAATCTAGTCCATGAATATGGTATATATTGCATTAAGTTAGTTCCTTTATTTCTCTCAATGATATTTTGTAGTTACCATTGTACAGCTTTCACAGCTCTTGTGTTAAAATTTATTAAGTATTTTATTCTTTTTGATGTATTAGCAATAAAATTGACCTGTTTAAAATTTCATTTTCAGATTTTCCATCATCAGCATATAGAAATATCATTGATTTTTATTGATTGACCTTATATCTTGCAACTTTGCTAAACTCATTAATATTCTAGTAACTTTTAAGTGGATTACTTAGGATTTTCTACCTACAAAGATCACATTGTCTGTGAACAAAAACATTTTATTTTTCTTTCCAATTCTTATGCCTTTAATTTCTTGTTCTTGTCTTATGGTCCTTGACTTTTGTACCTGAATTATTTGCCAACGTCTCTTCAGTACACTGTACACTCCTACACCCATTTCATGAATGCTGAAATCAGATTTTTGTATATCCTTCACCCTAACAAATGACTATTTTTAAGAGTGCATAAATGCCTTCCAGTCAAAAATTCTATTTCAGCAGCACTGCTATCTTTGTTTATAAAATAGTGTTTGGATAATTATTTAAAACATGTGAACTGCATTTCGCACTTATCATTTAGAAAAGAAGGAACAGAAATGAGAAAAAGATAGTGCTGCCATCAGTAATAAGCAGGAGTCTCATAAACTTAATGGCAATTGAGACAAAGATGAAAATCATTAGCCGGGTGAAAGCGGCAATTCTGTGGCATCAATTAGGTGTTCGGTGGACTTAATAAGCTGGTCAACCACAAGAAAGAATAAAACTAAAGAACATAACTTGGCAACTGAACATATAACATCAAAGTCGTGTCTGAAATGCAAGGTCTAATCAGTGATTTTATCATACACGTTAGGTCTTCAGGAACGTAACTGCCTTTGTGACATGTACAACCATTGTTCTACTTGAACACAAATCAGTTCACAGATACACTGAAGAACACAGTGGATCTCAAAATGTGGGAAATACCAGGACTTCCTTTAATCTTACAAAACCTGCCGAGAAGGGTGTCACGGTTCCCATTGAGAAATCACAAACCAGACACAGAAATGAAGTCACTTGCTGAAGTTATAGTCAGTAGTGGAGACAAGACTCAAACCCAGGTCTGTTTGGCTCCAAACGCTCTAAACGAGGCCTGTTTTCCTGAGCAACCCAGTTCCCTGGTGCAGATGCCCGAGCCCGGCCTTGCTCGCCTGAGCGGGAAAAGCCTCTGGTTGCACATCTGCATGGCTTCTAACCCCGGGATCCCCCAGTGACTCACAGGCTACCCTGCAACAACTAGGGAAGAATGATCATCCTGACTTGCTCTAGCCTAAAACTACCAGCCTGAAGTCTGAACACAATCTATACTAATAAAAGGGTAATATGCTAATTAGACCAGATAGACCAGATGTCTTCCGGACGTCCTTCCAGACAAAACCATGGTGGTGGGGGCAGAGGCAGAGGTGGTTAGGGGCAATCAGGCCGGCAAGGGGGAGCAGTTAGGGGCATCAAGCAGGCAGGCAGGCAGACAGGCAGAGGCAGTTAGGGGCGATCAGGCAGGCAGGCAGAGGGGTTAGGGGTGATCAGGCAGGCAGGCAGGCAGGCAGGTGAGCAGTTAGGAGCCAGCGGTCCTGGATTGTGAGAGGGATGTCCAACTGCCAGTTTAGGACCGATCCCACAGTCTGACATCCCCCAAGGGGTCCCAGATTGGAGAGGGTGTAGGCCGGGCTGAGGGACAACCCCCCTCCCGTGCACAAATTTTGTGTACCGGGCCTCTAGTAAATAATAAATAAAAAGATGTGAGGTGGTTACATAAATAAGATACATGGACATACATTTGAGAGCTGGGTTTGAAATCAGTGAGTGATTTTCCGTTGAGTTTGAGGGCAGAGATGCCCAGGAAGTTGGACTAAGAAAGGATATTAAAGTTTTTAAGTGAGGTAATTCAGGCTTTCTCTGCTTTCATGTTTGGGCAGACGCATTAGAAAATGAATGCAGAAAAGTTACCATAAAAATCATTAAACTGTGGCTGGGCAATGAAGTTCAGCCTTCTCTCTCAACACCCCACCAGGAAAATTCTAACCCTTGGGTGCAGGTGACTCAGACCGAAGTCTTTACTGTAGCGTGGTTGTGCAAGGCCAGGAGAGAGGCTCGGGCTGTATTTCCACGGAGAGGACACGGAGCAGGAGAGAAGGAAGCAACAGCGCAAGTGCTTCTCCTGGTGCCCTAAGAACACACTCGCTAGAGGTTGTGGATTTCTTGGTTAATTAGAAAGCCTTTCAACAGGCTCTTTCCAGAAACAAATACAAATCACAGCGCCCCCTGCACCTGGCAACGCACAAAGCCAGAAACAATCCTCTCCGTCCCTGAGGTGAAAAAATAAGCCCCGTGAGAAGTGAGGAGGCTGTGCTGCATCACGGTACCCTCTGAGCAGCAGCCCTTTTGAAAGAGATCCCCCCTCCACACCTTTTATTTTACTTCCTGCGTGAACCTGGTCATCGATCCCACTCCCCAAATAACACACGCATCTTACAGCCCGTCTAGTGTGTACACGTGAAGTGGGATGCCCTGGGAAAAGCTTCATAGTTAGCACAATATTAGAAACAGCCTACACAACCGAGGGACACGGGCAGAGGAGGGGCCTGCAACTATGGGTTCACAGCCTTCCGCCTGTTTGTAAATAAAGTTTTATTAGAACATGCCCATGCCCATTCCTGGAGGTCTTCTTCTATTGTGGCTTTCTTGCTACAAGGGCAGAGTTCCACAGAGATGGTCTGGCCCACAAAGTCTACAATAACTACTATCTGGCCCTTTACAGGAAAAGTTGGTCAGCCTTTGAGATAATATGTTCAAAATAATATGGAAAAATACCCATGTTAAAATGTTAAGTAAAAAAAAAAAAAGGGTAAATCAGCGGTTTTCAACCAGTGTGCTGCAATAATTCTTAAAACATGCAATACCTGACTACTCAGTCAGGGCACTGACCTCTTTTCCCTTAGATTGTCAAATGAAAAAATGACAGCAGCCAACACAATAGCCACCTGGTGTGAATGAATCAAAATTACACCTTTTTTTTGTCAGGTCGGCAAAAAATGTATTTTTTTGGTGTTCTGCAGAATTTTAGTAATTAGTTTATGGGTGCCACGAGATGAAAATAGCTGATGAAAATCAAAGGAAAGTGGGCCTAAGAGAGACCAAAGTGTTAAGCAGTTGGATTTGGGTGGTAGCCTTACGGGTGATTTTTCTTACTCCATCTATAATGACCTTACACGTCTGCTATGATAGAAAAAACCGAACCTCACTGCAACACGATTTCAGCTCGCGTCTGCCTCGCACGCAGCAGGCGTCACTACTTTCAGCAGCCCCGCCCGGCTCGGCCGCGCACGGGTGTGCTGAGGGTGGGAGGCCGAAGTCCCGGCAAGTACCTTATGCTCGTCCCGAAGGTGGCCGTCCAGTTCCTCCGTGTGCTTGGCCTCGTAGTAGCAGAGCTGGCACTTGTACGGTTTCAGTTCATTGTGCTTTTCTATGTGTTGCTGGAGGCTCTCGTCACTGGAGCAGGTGAAGGTGCACTTGTCGCAGCGGAAGACCACTCCCTGCAGGTACTTGGACAGCTTGGACCGGCACACCTCGATGGGGACCACGCGCTCTTCTGTGGGGACAGGGTGAATGGGAAGATGGGGATCGTTACTGACGGCAAGCAGACCTTCTTCCTTCGGAACATGAGCGGGAACTCACCCCTTCAATTAGCTACTCCTTACGACCTTCAGTCCGTGAACCGCAGGCACAGACGCCCCCCTCCCCTCCATCTTCCGAACTAACGTGTTCCTCGACACAAATCGGTGTTTCTGAGACCAAAAGCTCTCTGTGTATTACTATCCAGAATGATCTACAAGCAGGGGTGGGCAGGCTGGATGGTGCTTGGTAGGTTCGGAATGGAGGTGAGGGAAGGAGGGGCGAGGGATGGGAAGTGGCGGCCGTTTCTACCAACATTACTGACGATCGACAGCGACAGATTCCTACTTCTCCCGTGTGATGTGGGTGGACTTGCTGATGTCTTTAAGGGGGGCAGGACACCGACATTCCCTAAGCACCTCTGCGCCCCCACTGTGCGCCTTCCTAGCAACTCAACCAGGCTCCAGTTACTCCCATTTCTCACAAATGAGTAAGGTGAGGGACAGAGCTCTCAGGGAACTTCAAAACCCACAGACAGTGACATCGGCCACGCTGCCGACCTGCGAACCCATGACGGCATCGTCTCCAATTCCATTCCTGTTCCCCTTCCTCCATGTTCTCCTTTCCCAGAAACCGAGGGAATGTCTAGTCTAACATCAAATCTGAAAACAAGCCCGTGCACTTTCATTCACTGAAACTCCAACTCCCGCTGTGAAGCGCTCGCAAAATGGAAAGGCTGCGGGCAACCTGCGGGCGGAGGGGGTGGCGGCGTGGGAGACGCGGAGGATTTGTGCCTTTTCAATCCCTAATCTGACTGTCA